GAAATAACCTTTTTTCTTGCAGTCTACCAAAGCAAAACACAATGTAGCAGTCACCTATTCATTGCCTTTTGTGTCAGCCAGACTGCAGGAAGCAATCGAGCATGTTGTAAGTGATGTCTTGACATGTTCCAGTGTAATACTGAACTGCACTCAATGGCTTGATTTAGGTTTTCCCAATTCAAGAATCAAAGCTTCAGCTCACTCCTGCCTGGTTTATTGCTGACCACCAGCCAGACCATGTTTTGCTTACTGTGATTCAAATTCTAGAGGAATAAAATCGATGAAAAAATAAAGCTTTATCAGGAACTCCTGAGTAAAGAAAGGCACTTTTAATGAAAGGGAAATACTTTCCCTTGTCATCAGAGGAGGTGGAGGGTTATCTGGGCTCAGAGCACATGAGCAGCCTGGAGAGGCAAGCTGCAAGCTGTCACCTCTTTCTTTCCTCTGCCAGGCTGAGCAGAGGCAAAAGGTTCTGCAGCTGCGATGGAAAAGGGTGTGAGGAAGGCTAAGCGACATCAGAAATGAAGCACATGTAGCTGGAAGGGACAGGACATTGGGCATCATCATCTCCATGAAGGACTTTGCTGCCCCTCAGGGAAATCCCCTGTGACAGGGTGGCTTGGGAAGCAGCACACCTTGCCCCAGGGCAGCAGCTGCTTCAGGCTGGTCCACACAAACCCTGTATGAGCTCTGTGATGCTCCCAGGTGAGGAGGAGAAGAAGCTGAAGGTGGAGCTGCTGCTGCCTGGCTCTGTGAAGGCTTCTTCTGTGCTGCTTCCCTTTCCATATGCTGTGCTACCTGGAACTGTGCTCCAGGCAAGCCAGACATTAGTAAATTGTGCAGCAAAGGGCTCTCAGATCAGCTAGAGAGAGACCTGGCCTCCTTCTGCTTGTGGCTTCAAGGCACCAACCTGAACTGCATGACAGCAGCATTATCATTCCCCTTCCTCTCTTGGGGTTTCTTGCATCATCCAGGACCTGCTTTTGAGCTGGTCAGGATCCTCCAGCTGGGGAGGCAGCTTCAGGTTTGAAAGGATGAGACCTAACCTGCCTGGGAGCTGAGGGTGGAGAGCTGTGGGTGCTCTTGGTGGACCCTTTGAACATACCAAGTGCTGCAGGATGCAGCTGATTGTTTGTAATCAGGCAACAGAGTGATCAGCTGTTTTTATCTCTCTGAAACCTCACTCCCAGCTACAGGGTGGATGGTGCCTGCCCCCTCACTTCCCAGGGTTGTACAGAGTGGTCATTAACCTTAAACTTGGTGAAGCCCCTAGTCACTACAGCAGTGAGTACCACAGAAAAGCTCAGAAGAAAATTCTAGTATCAGAGGCAGGTTTGAACAAGTACATCACATGCTGGGCAGTGAGCAGAGACAGCTTCACATCAAGACAGTTTTTCCAAGTCATTTCCCAAGCAGCTTTATTTGGTCTTCCTGCACCTTTCCCTGCTTTGTGCTCACGGGAGAAAAGAGGGGTCTCTGCATTCTCACCTGGCCCAGAGAGCAGAGCAAGGGCTGCTTTGGCTGCTGGCTGGAGTGACCTACCTGTGACCACAGCACATTCTGGGGATCTTTGGAGTCCCAAGACTGACACAAGAAGGTCTGCAGAAGGTAGGTAGGATGTAAGCCTATTACTGAATCCAGATGCTGTTTATACTCTAAATGAGAAAAAACTGTAAGGGTGAGAAATTCAGAAAAGGTTGCAGATTGCTTTGAGAACTTGCTATTTTAAAACTTACAAATACCTTTTATTTTTTTCCCCCCTATATTTGAAACATTGCTAAATTTGATGCGTAGATTGAAAAATTGCCATTTCTCTTTCTTAGTCTCAAGTTTGGAAAGGTTTGGACTCTCTCCCTCCTCCCCACACAAAAGCTGTCTCAGCCTGAGCAGGCATAAATATTTTTATCAGACTTAAATAGCTTGGGCTGAAGTTAAAAGCAAGGGAAAAGAGCAGCCTTTGTTATGGGGAATGCAGTAGCAGGCAGTGCTACTGGTTTCACCTGTATTATTGAGTCTTTCATATTAGCCAGGAAAGCTGTGTCTGAGAGATGTGGGAATGCTCTGCCCATACCACCGTGGCTGCTGCCCAGGGCAGGCTCCACTGACTTTGGCCACTGGGCAGCATTAGCCTTAACTGAGGTTAATGTTTGGCTTCATTTTCTGGGGTAGCAAAAGGGCAGTTTTGACCAGCAGAACTTGCTCTGGGCTGAAAACAGACATGCCTCTTGCAAATCTGTTACCTGAAGATTGTCACTTCCAGTTTCCAGAGGATGATGCCTGTAGCTGAGGGAAGAGGTTGCTGCAAAATGAGCTGGGGTGTCCTAGAATGTCAGTGTGACCCAGAGTGAATTCACCTGAGCCAGCCACTGATGGACCTGGGGAGGTCTGGCCTAACCCCTGCTGCTGTCAGAGTTTTGGGGCAGGTAACCTGTGGCAGCAGTGTGCCCATGGGCAGCTGGGCATGAGAAAGAACATCCTAAGGAGGCTGATTGTTTTATCCTTGCACACCTCAGAAGTAATGTGGTAACAGTAAAACATTTCATCTGCAGGGACAGTGGTCTAGCAGAGCAGAGCAGTGATGTCTTCCTGGTCAAGACTGCAAGAAGGAGGCAGCTGGCCCCCAGCCATGTTATTTTTAAGCTTGGAAGGCACACGTGGTCTGCAAGAGGGTAGCACTAAGGAAAGGAACTCACCAGCACTTCCTGCCCTGCCCCAGAAAACTGATAAAGCCCTTTGCAATGCAGGGCGACCCCAGTTTATTTTGAAAATGTTGCCAGGCATGGAACTCACAAAATAAGTGGAACATCCAGATTTGGGCATTAATTCAGCTTTAATTCATTGCCTGATGAACTAAAGAATTAATGTAAATGTAAAAAAGGACAAGATAGGGCCACAAACTAACTATATTCCAGAGCAATGTCTGCATAAGAACATTCATCTATGCATGTGCATGGGATCTATAAAAAGGTAGCTGGTAAATGTTACACAGGGAGGGGCATGGAGCATTATCCTGAGCACCGTGTGAATTTTCTTGGTGCTTGGACAATGCATCTCAATCCTGTTCCCTTCCCTTGTTATTCCAGTCCCAGCCCTCTCATAAGCAAAGATAATTGTGTGCTGAAGGATACAGTTCCCATGTACAGTAAATGCTCACATTGAGGAAATCCAGGTTCCTGCAATCAAAACTAGCAGTTTGTTGTGCAGTTACAATAACAAGGTCCACTGGGGTGGATCTATCTTTATTGTGTGCCCTGTAGAGGCATAAATGAGATTGCCAGAGATATTTTCCTTCAGCCCAGATGCTGGGACAGCAGGATTGCAGTGGCACCAGAACATGCTGGGTTCAAGCCAGGAAGGAGCTATTCCAGGGGGGTGGGAATTACAGCCCTGAGCCCCTGGAGCACACAGAGTGCCTCACCATCTCTTGGCTCTCTGTGAAACAGCTTCATTCCCACAGCAGAATTATTTAGGAATGAAATTGCTATTTCTGGTCTGATTGATGAAGTATGTTATTGGTAGACTTCATTTCTGTAACAGAAACCCTTCTCTTGCAAGCACATTTGGGACACTAAAGCAGCTGTCCTAAAATTTCCCGGCTGGAAGAAGAAATATCCCTGCTTGTCCATCTTGTCCTCCTGATCTTTCTGTGCTAGGACTCAGGTGATTTTGCTAGAAAGGGGGACTGGTGAGCTGCTGACATCACAGCAATGGGTGACAACTTCAGACTGTACTGCCCTGAGCGGGTTCTTGACAGTGATGCCAGCCCTCCAGAGTGGGACTGGGAGAAATGCCAGCCGGGAGGAGACAGCCCAGGCTTTAGCTGAGCACCATTTGGCCCAGCCCTCTAGCACGTCTTGTCACCACCAGGCAGAGACCCTGGCAATGGGACCATGTCCCAGAAGATGGGGAATTCAATCCTTTCATTGTGAGCCCCATGGCACAGAAAGCTTTATTGAATGTGGGGTTGGACCACACAAAGCCACTCCAAAACACCATAGTGGTCTCAGTCATGCCAAGGGCCTGTGCAAGGGCTGACACACAGGACTGCTGCTGGCACATGGCTGGGATGTGGCTCACAGCCTCGTTGAGGTCACTGCAAATAGGAGTGAGCTGGCTGCAAGCACAGCTGTTAAGGGGGTGCTTGGAGGAGATGGATTAGATCAAAGCCATAAATGAGATACTAATGTGCTACTACAGGTCAGTAGTGCAGTAAGCACCAAAAATAAGCAGTCTGATGCCTTTAGAACCACTGGGCTAAAGGAAACCCTTTCCATTTTAGCAGAGTCTCTGTCCGTGCCCTTTTTCTGGGAACTGCAATCATGAGCCATCCTGGGGGCCAGGAGGGTTTGCCACAGCCTGATCCTGATGGTGCTGAAAGGCAGGAAGAGCTTTGCCTGTAATGCCTGCTTAGAAGCACAAAACTGTGCAGGCTTGTTCCCTGGTGCAGCTCACCAGCAGGGCAGTAAAGGTTGCCCTGATCCAGGCAGGCTGTGTGGGTTCCCAGACATGCTTAACATGAAATGTAGCCAGGACAGACCTGCCCATGCCACTGCCACTTCTGAAATACTAACTTTATGTTGAAAAGCACTTCTCATCTCCAGTCCTGCTTTTATACAGCTGGGGAGGTTCTGCCTAATCTTTCTTTCCTTTTCTGTCCAGGGAATTTTAAAGGAGAGGCAAAGGAAGGACATGCCCTCCCATACTGCCCAAGAGCATCATAGTGGGTTGACAGCAGAAAGTGCCTTCAGAGTTCTGTTTTTCAAAGTTCATTTGATAAGAGCCACTTTCATCCTCACCGTCAACTGATAAAGCCTCTTTGGGAAGTTGGTTGATAACTTGCAGAGATGGGTGTGCACTTAGTGGTTTCTGGGTTCAAGCATTTTTTTCCAGGGCTGGAAAGGATGTCAAGGTTCTTATTGCAGTGGGGAGTTTCTCTCATTTTTGCACCTGAGGGAATATATTCCAAATCATGGGTCATTTCACCTTTCTTTCTCTTCCAGGGAAGGAACTGCCATGCCCGTGGGACTCTTCCGGGTGTGCCTACTGGTGATTACAGCTATTGTCAACCACCCGCTCTTCTTCCCCAAGGAGAATGGCACTGTCCCCGAGAACACAGAAGAAATCATCCAGAAGATGAAGGAGCGGGAGGAGAGCCTGCGGCTGGAGCAGTTGCGCTTGGAGCAGGAAATCGCAGACCAGGAAGCCACACAGAAGGCTCTGGAAAAGGCTGCAGTGGCAGTGGAGGAAGGCAAAGAGGAAAAGGTCCGATGGGATATGTGGACTGCCCTCTCCATGGTCATCTTCCTGCTGATCGAGCTCTGGAGGCAGGATTTCCAGGAAGGGAATTGGCAGGACATAGGAGGAGAAGAGGATGACATGGCAGTCCTGGGGAAAGCATTTAAAGGAGTGGCCTTGCCCAACAAGGCTGTCCTGGCCAGCTTCTATGAGAAGCGTATCCTGGGTACCACTGGAGACATGGCCAGGATGCGGGAGATGGTGGAAGGCTTTGCAGATGACCTGCTGGAGGCCTTGAGGAGTGTTTGTAACCGGGATGCTGACATGGAAGTGGAAGATTGCATGGGTGTGGGGAGCATGTATGAGAACTGGAGAGTGCGTAAACCCTTTGTCTGTGATCTGATAGTGCCTTTTGCTCCCCCAGAGCCTTACTGCTTTCGCTGCCAGACCTGGTGCTCTGGTGACTCTTTTCCCCCAGATGAACAAGGTTATGGCACTATCAAGGTGTGCAGGGCAGATGAGGATGCGACGGGCTGCATCTGTGACAAGACTAAACTAGGGGAAGATATGCTGTGCCTCCTCCATAGCCAGGTCAGTAGTACCAGGCCCAGCAGTGAGATGGAAGACCTCCTGTGTTTCAAAAATACTCAATATCTGGATGCCGACCAAGTCATGAAGTGGTTCCAGATTGCCGTCACCAAGGCCTGGAACAGAATCTCCCACAAATATGAATTTGACCTTTCCTTCAGCCTCCTGGATTCACCAGGAGCCCTGAAGATAAAATTTAAATCGGGGAAATCGATTGCCTTCAACCTCACCCCTGTGGTGCAGTATGAGAACTCTGACGTTTACTTCATCTCCCACTTCCCTCGGAGCAGTCTGGCAGCAGACGTCCCCTCCAGCACCCACTGGTTTCTCACCTTCGCAGTGTATGAGAGGAGGTTCATCCAGCTGGTCTCCAAAACACTGCCTGCCAATGCCTGCCACGTCAGCTGCCTTCAGATCCTCTCCTTCCTCCATGGGAAGCAGTGCAGCCTCACAGGTCCCAGCGGGCTCACCAACTACCACCTGAAAACAGTGCTGCTGCATCTCCTGCAGGCACGTCCCAGTCAGGACTGGGCCCCAGAAAAGCTGGAGGCCCGCCTACAGGACATGCTGAAATTCCTAGAAAAATGTTTGCATGAAAAGAAGCTTTATCACTTCTTTATCGGCAATGGGAAGGTACCAGCAGAGCTGGGTTTCCCCATCATATTTCAGAGGGCGGAGCCTCTCAACCTTTTCCGTCCCTTTGTGCTACGCAGGGACATTTACAGGAAGATGGTGGACACGTTCCACGAGATGCTCAAGAACATGTCTGCACTGATAAATGAGTACACAGTGCACATTCCCCTTGCACACACCAATGGGATCCGTAAGGAACCCCTTTAGCCAAAGCCAAAATCTAAGCACAGGTCCAGAGGCCAACTCTCTGAAGCCTCCTAGAGACAACTGATTTTGCCAATAGAGCTTCTTGTCTGGAGCTGAACCAGTCCTGGGCCGTGGTTCCTGCTGAAAGGAAGAGGCTATGGGGGGAGAATAGGGAGAAACTGGAAGATGTGCTGTTGAACTAGGTTTCTCTTCCACTGCTGTGCTTGGTTTTATGCAGCTAAGAATATATTTTTTCTATTGTGCCTCATGCTACAGCAGTGGTGAGCAACAAATATAAGTAATTTATTCAGATGCCTGCAATGCAAATGGGGATGGGGGTGTGATGGTGGCCAAATACTTCATTTCCTTCAGAAGGGGGAGATAAGAACAGGGTGGAGGAATCAGAGACAGGATCTTTGGATCAAAGGAGCCTGTCTGCTTGTAGACAGCAGGAGCTCTTTCACCAATGGGAAGTGCAGCATAAGTCTACATGCTGGTGTGGGGAGGAGGAGGGTCATGCAAAAGATCTGGACTGGATGGAGATCCTTAAATAAAGCACAGCTTCAAAAGGGAACTGTAGTTAAAACAAAAAAAGGAAAAAAAAGAAAAAAAAAAAAAACAAAAAAAAAGCAGAAGAAAAAGCTTTCTGAATTGGACTTGCAACAGTCACTTAAATGACTTGTCCTGTCCTTCAGAAATACCCCTGCACAATTTTTCTCCTGTGGGAGGATGTAGCAGAGCAGGGTCTGTGTCATCAGATTATTTCATTCAAGTCTTCCATGGTAACATGGCTAGTGGTTTATATTCCTGTCCATTTTGTATGGATCAATGAACAGGAACCTTTATTTATTATCTTAGATAAAAGAAACACCACTGCTCGGTTCTGACATTTTGGGTTGTCTGTTTTCAGTTCCAGCCTAAACTATTATGATTTTATGACTGCTGTAAGTTTTGCTTTCCTAAAAGAAGCAGTTCTCCAAAATTATCCTATAATGAAGCCAATCTCAGCAGTCTGGTAGCAGGAGTGAACAATACCCTCCAAATGAGAGGTTTTAATTAGGCCAAGGCCAGCAGGGAGAAGGAAGGGATGAAAAAGATGCAGATGTAGTAGATCTGGGCAGTGCTGCTTGGAGCTGCCTTATGATCCGTGTTGCATCCCTTCTGCTCCACATATGCAGGCAAAAGCTACTTTTTACATTCTCCTCAGTCTTTTTAAAGACTGCTGCTCTGAGGAGCTGTACTAGTAGACTGTAATCTGCTGAGCTGGGAGTGCAAAGGAGGAGAGCTGCTGCAGGCTTTCAGGCCAGGGGAGAATCTTGAGGCATGTGATAAAACAAAACCAAAACATTGCAGAAATGGAAATGCCTGAAATCCCACAGGAAGCATGTTAGTGCTGTGCCAGTGGGCTGCCCAGCCCCAGCAAGGTGTCTTTGCTGAAGGAGAGGACTCAGGAGATCCTCACCCTCCTGAGTGCAGGGTCCAGGCCAGGGCCCCAGTGCATAATTCCTTTATGCTAGTCCCAGAAGCCTGGCCTCCAGTGCTAGGGGGCCTTTCCTACCATTTTCTCACACTAAAATTTCCTGCAAAGTTTTACACTAGGGCTTCACTTAATCCTGTTTACAAGAGGGTGGTTGTTCTGTGAGGTAAGACCCGTCAGGGATGTTTTTACCATCACTCCATATGTCCCTTTTTATCAATCCTCTCACATCCGAGAGACAATTCAATCCTGTATCACTGCTGGAGACAACATACAGCATGAAGCTTGTTATCCAGCCTTAGCCAGTTATCAACAGTTATCAGCAAACTCTCCATAGACATGTCCTCTCTTCCCTTTTCCAGGTAAAAACTGTTTTACCACCTCATTGGTGTCTGCTCTTCTCTGTCCTGCCACCACTGAGGGACACATCACACACAGAGGCAGAGAAAGCTGTAACTGCTGTCTCCACATCTGGTTTATAAGAAGGCACAGATGGTGACAGAGCTATGCCCAAAGTGCTGCCTCCCTTGGCTTTTATTACCACAGGTAGTTAAGTAGGATCTCTGAACAGAAAGTAAGGGTAGGTAGGAATGGGGGAGAAGAGGCTGGTGGGTAATGCCAGTAAGAAAGAGTCTTGGATCATCAGTGCTTGCTTCAGCATCCTTGGTGATAAGTGCCTGGGAGATTGCCAGGAGAGCAACAGGGCAGGACTAATTGCTGACGCTAACGAGTGCTGTAAATCCCTGGCTTTCCTTAGTACAGCCAAGAAGGCTTTCCCCAGTAGGAAAGAGCAGGAGCAATCTCAAGGGCCATGGCAAGCAGGTAGTGACAAGCAGAGGTATAGGGAGAGTGGGTCAGTACTGCAGCCTGGAGGCTGCCTCAGAAGCTGTGTAAGTCATTTGCAAACCCAGGTGATCTGCCATTTTTACCTGCCCAGATTTACTGCAAAGTGCCCATAGCAGACCCAGCTTTACATGGACTGCTGGCAAACAGGTCACACTGGAGCAGTTATGGTTGAAGTTGCTTCTAAATGTGCTCCCAGCCCAGCCAGAGATAAATTAGAATTTCACTGCCATTTCCTGTCAGGAGTCTAAATTTAGACTGTCCAAAGAACAGAAAAAAAATTGTGACCCAGGTCTCTCAGGAAATGACATTCAGAGTTGAAAAATAACTTTTATATAAGGTTGAGCAGGAGGAGCATGAGAAGAAAAGGCTGTTGAATAGAATAAGGTAACTCCCCTATTAAAATGTCAGAACAAAGCTTTGCAACACCAGTTGCAACAGGCTTGTAAACGTGCCCAAACTAGTCTTTACACAGCCCCAAGCACTGCTGCTCAAAGGGAACCTGAACTGATAAGTGGATCGAGTCTTTTGTTCTTTGTTTTTTGTACTTGTATGCCTGTTCTCTCTTTGCCCAAACTGACCCTGAAGTATTCCCATGGGGTTTAGCTGAACAGAAGCTGGAGCTGAATCAAGTAATTTATGGATTTAATTCTACTGAAAGCAAATTACTTGGCTTGGTTTTCCTACATGCAATATGCTCATTTTGCCCTGAGCACCTTTAAAATGATCTGTGAGGAGACCCACTTAAACCTGTTGGGGGAAATGTTACCTGTGATTATAAGCTGTGCTCCAGTCAGCCTCAGAGTGGAGATCCTCCTTGCAAACAAAGGTACAGACATGTCCCATCAGAGGAGAGGCTGGTGTGACACACTGTTTCCTTGGACCACACCTCTGCCATGGTACAAGGAGACCATGATGTGAAGCACATCATTCCTTGGACTCCCTTGTCTCTCCTGGATCAAATCTTTGCCCACCAAATACTAGCCTATTAGTAAAATCCCATACTCACATTTCACAAAATAAGGGTTATAAGACAATTCAGCTCCATCAGCTGCCAGCCAGTAAAAAAAAAATGTCTTAAGACATTTTAGTGTTGCCCATGAGCAGTTCTGCCTTGATTGAAATCTGAGTGGGTAATCATATGAAGCAGCTTTAAAGGATGGGATTAGAAGTGAGATTTTGTGGTTTAAAGTAAAAAATGTTCTTTTAAAACCATACTGCATATGGCACCTGAGTAACAAAAATCTCTTTGGCAATGCCTGGATCTCTGTGAGACATCCTAAAGAAAAGTAAACAGCCTGTCCTGGACTCTCAATGCTGTTCTTGCCATTTGTTAACCAGGCGAATTCAACAGATGAACTCCAAGTGCCTTCCACTGGTTTCCAGCCACTCCCTGAGCCCTCAGCTTGTGGTTTTAATATTTTATTAGAGGCTCTGTCAAAGCAATGGAATTAGTGGTGAGTTGATAGCAGCCACTGATCTACAGCATAGCCTCAGGAGCCATTTGCCTTTAGAAAATGTCTTGGTCTAAGGTTATTACTGCTGTACAGGAGCTAAATGTCTTCTGAGGGGAGGTGTTGGGTGTTCACTGTTAAGCAGGCACAGAAAAGAGTTTCTCTCTTTCCAAGTTGCTCTGTATACAGGTATATACAGGGGTATAAAAATGTAGTTTAGCAAAATGATCTAAAGTATTATCCAGTATTCAAGCAGCAGGATTTGGTTTTTGTTCACCAGCCATTTTTGATTCAAAGTCTTTGCAGTGTTTTCTCTGTGGTGAAGAAGTGAGACTTTAGGCACCTGTAACAGCTTTGCTGCTGCTTAGTGAGGAATTGTCTCTCATAGGACCCTACCTGGTAAACAGCTTTATTTATTACTTGTCTTTTTTTTAGAACTGGGTGGGGGGGCTCTGTGTAACATGTTAGCTCAGAAGCAAAACTGTAGTACAGAGATGATCTTGGCAATGCAGCCAAGATGGGCAGTAACACCAGAACTCTCCAGACTAAGGTCTTCCTTGATTGACAATGCTGTATTTAAATTGCTGCTTCTATAGCAGGACACTGTTCTATTTGTATAGATCTTCTCATGCAGCTTTATTTATAATAAAGGAAGTCTTGTACAAAATCTAAATGAACATGAAGTCTGTTTTGTTTCTAGTTCCCCTGCAAAATATTCCTAAGACAGTAGAAGGAAGGAGACTGCAACACGAACATAAAGTGGGATAGCTATCCCAGAATAATGCCAAGGGATGTCATTCTTCTTGAGAATATAAATCCACAGGAAATCAAAGTAGTTATTCTGAATGTGTCTGCTCAAAAACACACTTTTGTGGCAAGCTCTAAATAATGGTGATAGATTTTGCCCTTATGGGCTGAACAAGAAATCTCCTGAATTTCCATTTCACCTCTTTACCTGCTTATTTTATGGGTATCCACAGCCAAGTTCAGTAACCACCCACCCCCTGCTTAACTCCTTTGCCTGGTTTAAGGGAATGGCACCTCTTTGTTAATATTCTAATATACTCTGGCTCTGGAAGTATACCCAGAGCTAGTTATTAATTCATATAATAAGAGCACTACTGTTTCCTTGGTAAAATGTCTTCCAGCCCCACAGAATGCCCTGCACACCTTTAATAACTCTGCCTACCAGGGCTCACTGGGGCTGAATCAGCACTGTGTAGGTCTGAGAAGCAGCTGGCTTAAGAGCTGCTTCGAATCTACTTAGCCAGAAGTTAGAATTTCCCAGGGTCAACCACACGCTGCTGGAAAGGGAAGTCTCTACTCCAGGATCATCAGCAGTTTTGGTTTGGTGCAGCTTTGTTATGGCAAAAAAACAAAACAAAACAAAACCCAAGTGAAAATAAACCCATCCTGCTTCAAAGCTATCTGACTAGCTCAGCAACATTTTCTCCATTGAACTCCTGATTTTCTAGAAAACTTTTTTTTCTTTGCCTCAATTTACTGTTTCAGTGTTGCTGTGGAATATAAAGGGTAACATCCCTAAAATAATCCTTTTTCAGAACGGCAATTGGCAGATTTTTGAACCATGCCATGACCATTATTGCAGTATTATCTCTCATAGAGTAAGCAGAGCAGAAAGAGAAAGTCACCCACTAGAGATTGTTTTTTAGCTTAAAAAATTATCTAATGACTTTTTACCACTCATGGGGTAGCTGTAAGCAAAGACACAATCTTCTTTATTTCAAGCAGGCAGAAATACCTGTGCTATAAAAAAAAAGAAAAACTAGCAAAGCAACCTCAGAAGATATGGCAACGCACAAGCATGCGAACATGAATTCAGTAAAGTGCCAGCCAGTAGGGGTCAAACTGGCAACACTGTTCTCAGAATGGGATGCTGCTCAGGAATTGCCCACATACTGAACAGGTTCCATCCAGTCTGTTCAACTCTGCATCATGGTTTGTTGCATGCAGGACAAGAAGCTAACACAGGTCTGTCCCCAAGTGCCACTGGCACAGGATCAGATTTTGACTTGTATTTAACTGGATTCTATTTGTTTGGGAAAAGGATGTCTCAAGGTGTTGGGTCATGGGGTTCAAACAAACATGTGAGCTGTTGCATCCCTTCCAAGTAAAGTTCCAGGCAGTCCTGTCTTTTTCTGGAATAATAAATTCCTTATGGCAACATAAACTATGTTATTTTTAGCAGTCGGTGTGTTCACACATCTGGGCCAGGGGGAAAGAAGGCCTGTGCTTTCATCTCCTTCCAAGTAGCTTCTGAATCCATCAAACAACTCACAGTCAATTTGACAGAGCTCAGAAAAACCTCTGATAATCTTTAAGCAAGCAGGCAAATGGACAGGAGACAAAGACTCTCATAATGCTTCAAAAGCACAAAAGAGGTATCTTAAATGTTCCCAGTGCAGTAGAAGGCAGTAGGTACTCATGTCGTCTTTGACCTGAAGAACTAAGCTGTGAGAAAAAGCAAAATTGTGTTACTGCTTCTGCCGCTCTCAAAATGATCCACCCAACTATGCAGCAGAGCCTTGAGGGAAGATGAATGCAAGCAGTTATTCCCATCATATCTATTGGACTACTCTGGTATCAAAACGGAAATCTGAGCAAGCCCCTGCTGTGGATCAATTAATGTTACAATGTTTTTCAAAAGAAACTTCATTTTCCAGTTATGTTACATTTAAGAGTGTCATCTGAGACTCCTCTAGTGCTGGCAGTAAAATCTCTGGCTGCAGAGGCAGAGAACAAAGCTTCTCAGTCATTATTCAAAGGCAGCAACTCTGCAAATAAAGGCTCTGAGTTTAGAAGTAATTATAAATCTGTCTAGCTAAAACCAGAGCTCACCCAGGATGTTAGAGGAGGGAAAAAAAAAAAGGTATTAGCTTTATTGATCTGCTCTGAGGGGGAAGCACAGAAAGTGCTGAGGTGAAACATTTAAATACAGCCTGTTCAGATATTTGAGTGCCTGTAAAACCTCTGACTGTGGCACTATGTTAAAAATTGTGCCCAAAAATAAAAATAAAACAATTGAAGTTCTAAGGGTGTCTAAGGCACTCAGCAGGAAAAGGAGTCTATTTTAGATGTGAAACTATCTTCAAACCCACTGGTGTGGCCACAGCCATTAACAGTCTCAACTCAAAGATTTAATCATGTAAGGAGACAAGATTAAGTTTCTGTCTGTATTGTCCTACTTTGCAGAGGAGCCATGCACTTATTATGCCATTGGAAGTCCAACCAGGCACCTTTGTGCAGACCATCTAACATTCAGGATCCAACACAGTGCAATACAGGCCCATGGGGCAGAGCTAGGCAGGTCTGGCATCAGTAACACAGTGCATAGCCTGACTTATCAGTCACTTCACCTCCCCAGGTGCAACAAGAATCCATTCCCCGGCTCCCAACCTTCAGTCTTGCTCTCATAGTCCTCTACTGGGAATCAGACAGCACAGAGGGATTTCCCAAATGCTCAGGGAGATGGTATGTAGCTTATGAACATGTTCCAGATCTCATCCCTGCCTGCTCTCACCAGGCAGGGCAGCCCTGTGCCTGTAAGGCAGTTCCTGTAAGCACAGATGATCCAGAGCAGCCCCTCCTGGCCTCCATCACCTGGGTGTTCCCAGAGAACAGAGGTGTTCTGCACTCTCAACAGGATATTCCTGCTAGTTCAGTTCACCTTCAGGGCTGTCGCATCACGTCAGTGTTACAAACCTCATGCAAAACTAGATAAAAGCAAGGCTTGTCCACATGCAGCTGTCTACCATAGCCTCACACTGACTCCCCTGCCAGAGCCACACCTGGCAAAGCTTTGGAAGTGAAAGGTTTGATCCAGAGCAGAGATAGACCAGCAGAGAACAGCCAAGACACATAAAGCATATGGAGAGGAATTGAGGCACCTAAACTGTGGGCTTGAATGCACAGATTATATCAGAGCTGCCTTCCCACAAAGACAAACAGCTGATTAATCACCATGCCTTAATTACTACAAGTAAGAAGAGACAAACTCTGCTTCCAAGCCTCAACAGGCACAGAAAAGTGCTCTGTGATGAATGCATAGGGGAAAAAAACATTCACACTCCAACCTGTGGCTTGGCCCAAAGCAGATTCTTGTTGAGAGCTCCCTTCTGAGGATGGTTTGAGTGACAGAAGGAAAGGCACAAACACATCCTTTGGGGTAGCAGGAATGCTGCAGAGAGCTGCAGGAAGGACAGTATTAATTCATAATGTCTCCATTGATCCTCATTCATTCTTCAGACAGTCTGAAGCTGACAGTTTTCCTCCTTTTTTCTCAGCCCTCCTATGCTTTTGCTGTGCAGTCACATAGGTGACTCATGCAAATGGTTTGCAGCTTACAGGAAACACTGTTCCCTACCCAGCTTGTGGCTGTTCAGTGCCCCTATTCCTGGCTCCCTTTCCCCTGGAGACATGGCTTTTTCCATCAGCTCTGCCAAGGGTGGTGGTTCTAAGACACAAACCTGCAGCACGTGCTGCAGTTCTCACAAACTGTTTCCTGCTCACCAGAACACACTGTGAGAGGCACAGTACAGGCTCCATGCATCAGCCCCTTCATGCCAGCTGCATTCTCACTCCCTCCTAGACTCAGATACAGTGTTATTGCAGACTGCTAAACAGCTGTCACACTCCACCCCAAGCACAGTTGCATCTCACTGACGAGTTTTGTAACTCCTGTTTTAGTAAATTCAAGTGTTGTAGAAGGGGAAAAATACTAATGACATCATGTGGCATCTTCACTTTGCTGATTCAACTCAGATGAATCAGCAACTGCCATCCCTGTTGGCTTTGGACCAGCAGTAGAAAAGACTGTTTCTATCTTACAGAAAATGAAGTGATTTAACAAAATTGCCCCTGACCTCACAACTTTAGAGAGACTGCATTTTCACAAGTCATTCCCAAGTGAAATCCGTGTCCAAGGAACCATGGTGAAATAATCAGGCTACTAGTAAAGACAGGAGAAAGGATAACACAGCCAGTTCTCAAACCCTGCTAATGCAGGGGAACATTACAGATGCCATGACAGTGGAAAACAGGGCAGAGCAGTGCCAGGACATGTAACATTGTGCCAACACCACATGGCCAACACATGCACTCACAGCCACGCCTGTCTGGTGAGCAGGACAGAAAGCTGCTAAATGAAGCAAGAATCTGAGATTAAGTGAAGCAGCAAAAAGTTCAGATTGCCTTTTCTCTTCCTTTTTGATTGAGTAGGAAAAACAACAAATCCATAAGCATCTGTGTGGAGTTGAAACAAGTGTTCCATGTGTCTGTAGTACATTATTTTTGAAACTTTTCAAACCAATACATCCAGTTACAACCACTTTCAGTGCAAGAAACACTGGCCCTTTTACTACCTCCCTAGACAGAAACTTCTCAACAATTTCCCCAAGCAAGGGCCTTCTGTTATAGCTGCAGTCCTATTCACCCAGGTTCCCACTCAACGTACTCAAAACTCAGCAAAACTTCCCAGATGTGAGAACCCGGGATTCCCATTCCTTCCTCCTGTCTTGGCTCCCCTCAACCTTTCTCTTAGCTCCAATATAAGGGATCCTAAAATTATAATGAACAAACACTAGACAATATCTTGTATAAGGGTAGCAACCATCTCAAGGATGTCAATAAAGATAC